CACTGAAGAAATCCTAAGCCTACTGAGTGAGCACTGAAAGCAAACATTTCCATTGCAGGTCTGACCTCAGTTTGCACTAATTAGCTAGTTACTTAACCTCTGAGTCTGAGTTTCCAACACGAACATCCCCATTTCAGGTTTGCTGTAAAATTACACTGCCTGTAATGAAGAATTAAAGGGTGACTGTTAATAAAAACAACTCTCAAGGGCACCCTGCCACATTACCCTCTGACACCCAATACATGCTCCTGGGGCTGGGGCGGGGCGCAGGGGAAGGAGGGGAACAGAAGGAACCACTGTTGTCTCCGCAGGGCTTATGGGTTTCCAGGACACCGACATGACAGCAAACACTGCGTTAACTGCCTGCCGTGGGCGCTTAACTGCCTGCCGTGGGCGCTGCTCCTGGGGCATTGTTTCTATCACCCCATTCCACCCTCACCACTATCCTTTGAGGGAGCATTATTCTCACCCCACTTGATAAGCGGGGAGACGGAAGCACAGAACTGACTCGGTTTGCTAGTTCACCTGGCTAGGAAGTGGCAGAGCTGGAATTTGCACGGCTATCTGACGCCTGAGTCTGGACTCTAAGTCACTACCATCTATTTTGCCTCTTAAAAATGAGAGGGAAACTTTTAGTGGATTCTGGGCACTAAGGGAAATATAACTGTAATTACAGGTATTAAAATGACTTTCTTTGCCTTGACCTCTCCTAAGGGAAAAAATCACAGGTTCATGATAAATTACAAGACATTGTTAAATTCCATCTGCCATCCCTCTTTAAAACCTAGACACCAAGAAACAAAGACACCAAAAAATCAGAGGAAGAAAATAAAGGAAATCCCAAGCTGGATGAGCACAAAGTTTCAATATTCTAGGCAGGAAAACAGTCAGCCTTCCTTCCCTGAGGCACACGGAACTGGCGCCATGACAAGCTCCCTTTCCTTTAGAGTAGGGGGCGGGGAGGGAGTAGGATCAAAACAAGGTGAGGGGGGAAGCGAAATTGTAGGGTGACTATAACTAAGATGAAAATGCATACATTGTACAAAAATGAAAAATGATGTAAAAATATACAAAATTAAAAAACCAAAAATAAAAAAAAAAAGGAGTTCTAATTTTGAAAGTAATACAAACATGTTGCAGAAAATCTGAGAATCAGATGAAAGGAGCAGGAGTTATTCACTCCAGCAATCCAATGCAACTGCCACTGTGGAGACTGTGGGTCTGGGTACTGCCCCTTCATGTGTTTGTCCCGGGCATTTATTGTTTCAGACCTGTCATTGTAATGGATATGCAGGCTTGCACCCAGTTTTGCAATCTGTTTTTAAATAAAGGGAAGGACCATTTCTAAGGGGGGGATGGGCCACGAAACAGCACTATCAAGGAATAGTCTTATCACCTGCAGTGGCCCGTCTGATGACTAGAGAGCAGAGCTTCGCAGCTGGTTTCTGCCTAAAGGTAAGTTGGCTGCACCTTTGTCACTGTCCTCTTGAGACACAGGGCATGCTAAGGTTATTAGGCAGTTTCAGGGACAGTGCAGGAGGGGACCTCTGAAGAATTTAGGGTGGCTTCAGAGATAAGGACAACCAAGGGAATGTAGCCAATTCCACTGGGAAAAACAAACATCCCAGGACCATGGACAATATTGTTAACGATGGTCCTGGTTTTCTTCAGGTGATAAAGTGTAGAGATGCTCACCCGGAGGACTAGGCCATAAAGATAAAGATGCAACAAATGGACCTGCTAGATAAGGAATGTGAAGATCCCCCACTCAGTAACAAATTAAGTGAGACAGCCAAAAACTAACCAATCACAAAGAGACTGGTGGAGCTTTAGAATAATGAGGGAAAGAAGGTATATATTCCCTGAGACACGACTCCACTTTGGCTTCCTTGCCCCTCCCAGGCCTGGTTTCCTGGCCTGGGAGTCCCACTATATTTCTGCTCTTTTTCTCCTCAATAAACTTTTTCTTCCTCTAAACAAACCTGCCTCTTTTTGCTTGCTTGCCTGAGAGTCTGCGAAGTTCCTGCTGTGGCTTCGTGAGACACCAACCTGTGGGGGTCTAGTGGCTGGGGCTCAGCGCTGCCCCTGGAGCCTGGGATCTGTTCCTGTCTGGGAGACTAGGCCTGACAATTCCGGTATCACTCTCAAGTGTTTCTGGGAAGGTAAACAGCACTACAACCAAGAAAAATGTGGAACTGGATTTTCCCCAGTGCTGCCGCTGGGAGAAGCACTGTGTCGTGCCCTGTGTCTTTAAGGATGAGGATGTTGCTCAAAAGTTGGCACTGGGACTGATGGGTGGGTTAAAATCCACTTCTGTGGACTTTAGGAAATCTGTGAATCCCACACCCAGCAAGATTATATGCCTGATAAGGTATTAAACCTAACAAAATGCTTCTTTTTGTAACAGGGTGGTCCCCAGGAAAGGGGGAAGTTCCAGGTTCCCTGCCCCACCCAAGGGAGGGTGGAGCTGAGCAGGAAGAGGAGAAGGGGCAGAAGAGACTGAGGAAGGAAGCAGGATGGAGCCAGGAGACCTGGAGGAGGCTCATGGAGCCTAGAGACATGTGAAGAAACTGCGCTTGTCTTTTGGTCGTAGACTGGGTGACACAGATGTGGGTGAGACCCGTGGGGAGGTGACAATGGCAGTTTTTATCTTGATGTTGATTTTGCTCTTTTCCTTCCGGGCTTGTCTGGTTGTTTGTGACCCTTTTCTGTGGGTCCCCACAGGAAGATGCTTTAGACTTGTGGCAGGCTTTGGGGCCTTGTTCTGGGCCAATCCCATATGGATGGACTTTTACCCACGAGGGAACCTGGAACTTCCCCCTTTCCTGGGGACCACCCTGTTACATTTTAACCAGTGGACTGCAATAAAATCTAGTATAAAAACAGAAAATTAACAGTAAAAATGGGTGCTCACTGAGTCTGTGGAAAGGCCAGATTTCACCTCAGTTTCTTTTCACTTTCATTATCGATGGATGGTATGGTGGGGAAACCAATTTAAAAATGACCTTATATTGTGACACTTTGTATAGACATAAGATTACACTCAAATGCAGGGCTCACTACTATAAAATCCAGCAAAAGTCAGAGGTTGCAAATTCATGGTCTCTGCACCAATTTGACTTGGAATTGTGTTATTAGGCAGGTGTAGCACTTTATTTTTATTTATTTATTAAAGATACATTTTCCCAAACTGATCTAAATAAATTTAGATTTATTTATTTATGCATACAAGAACTGAGGTGTAGGCAAGAGGTGTGGGGTGGTGAGAGAATTCACTAGAGACAGAGTGGGGAGCAGAACAGGCAGATTGAAATACACTGCTGAGGGGAGCAGCGGGCAAGACAGGAGAGGTTTGCTTTGCCATGTGGGTTACCTCCCTGGCCAGGGATCGAACTTGTGCTTCAGGGGCTGGTGGTAGCTTGACAGTGTTGTGTCTTTAACTACTGCACCACCAGAGAGGCCCAGATGTATCACTTATGTTAGGTGAATTTAAAGATCAGGAAACTTTATGTGAAAAATCTTGATCTGTTGACAATGACTGTCAGGTTCCACCCCCCATTCCTTTTACTTGTAAACAAAAGTTTCTTTTGTTTTTCTAATCCAAATTCTTGTTCCAGATAAGGCAGTCCTTGTAGGTACAGAATGGAAGACTGCTAGCCCAGTTTATTTACATATTTACCATAAGAATGTGGGTAGAGATATTTTTCCAAACTGATCTCTTTCTGTAATCCCCAAAGCAAAGGAGAGACTGAAACCCTGCAGAGACAGAAATCCCAACTTCTGCCTAAACCTTAATGGCCAGTTCTGAGACCTCAAAGCACCAAGGTGTGAAAATGCATTATATCCTCCTCCCCCCAGTTCAACCCTAAGCACTGAGAAACAAACTATTCCCATCTTTGTGTCCTCTCCCCATCCCCTTCATCCAGCACCCTGGGGCCACTGTGAAAATTCAAACTCTCCATAGCTCTGAGGGTTAAGACATTATCATCCCTCTCTCAGGCACTTTTTAATTTATAAGGCAGAAACACTGTGGCATGCCAAGGCACCCAGAGCTTATTTTGGACAATACCTTTTCAATGAGCTCTTAAAAAAATCAACTGAGTTGCTTTTTTTATTTCAATAGACTTTACTTTTTGAAAAATAATTATGTGATTATTGTAGGAAATTTGGAAAAACACAGTAATGTTCAAAGAAAATAATTACAATTGCAAAATCCAAAAAACACTATTGTTTACATTTACTTTATGCATTAAAGAAAGAATTGGGTTATAATGTGTATATTATTTATCATCTGCTCTGAAGCCCAAGGACATCCTAAGCATTAAACTTCTGTTACTAAAACCTCTTCAAAACTATTTTAATGGTCAAAAACTCTATGCTATATGCTGTATGACAATTTATTAAACATTATTGTTGGCCATATGATGTTTCCAGTGAACATCTTTGTGCATAAAACTTCCCCTGCCCCTCATCCCAACTACATTTCTTTTAGTCATTTAGGATATATTCCCAAACACAGAGTTCCATGTCTAAAGGATGTGACTATTTTAGAGTCTCTAGACATACTGGTATTGAAAAGGCACACTGGCACAACTTCTTTCTGTCATCTTTCCATAAATCTCAGAGCAATGATGTGTATTCAACTGGGGCATACATGATACCTTGGAACTCAAACATTAATGACAGGAATTGAGAGTTGGTTTCTCAATTCTCTACTTTATGGAGAGTGAGGGGAAGTGTTATTACAGAGAGGAAAGAAATCATGCACAGCAATGGTAAAGAATATAAACAATTCCCACATCCTAATACAAAAGAAGAAACTGGGCAGGTAGCTTATGCATTTATGCAAATTGATATGCAAACCACAGGACAGGAACTGATGCTTTTTGGTAGCACTTGTCTGACCAAAGCCTCATTATCTTCACTCTTAGGGTTTAAAAGGGAAAAGACAGAATTTGCCACAAAAAAACAGTTTCGGACTGAGAAGCAGAATTTCTCACCTTTCGGAGTTTTGCAAGGAGAGCTGCTACATGTTCATGCTGTTCTGATTTAGCAAGATCTTCTGCTGTCTTTCCATCCTGTTGGAAAAAATTGATTAATTTTTCTCTTTGCAACAGAGAATTGTGTTCCATGTACTGATTGCATCCTCTTAACAGAAACAAGCTTAATAGGGATGAGAAACAAAAAACGTAGGCAAAAAGAACATGTCTTGGATTATTTCTCTTTCTGTGGAATACTTATTTCATTTGATTTTCCAGGGGAGGAAGATAAGGTAGGAAAACATCATGCATTGATGCTTTGAGGTCCAATAATGAGATGTCTCAGGCCCACACGCTTTAATCAAACTCAGTATCTCATTAGCAGGCAGATTACTCCATGTTCTGAGCTTCCTTCCAATTAGGTAGACAATAAAGACTGTCATTAAGTGCCAACTGCGAGTTAGTGCACGCTAATGTCTTAAAATACTTTCATGGACAAACCTCAGCACTCATGTCATGCTAGTTACAGCTAATTGCTGTGAATTTCAAAGAAAAGGCTATGTTTTACAGACAATTTTGATTTGAAGATTTTTTTCCAGTGACCCTAAAAGGAAGAATCTACTTCGGGGTATGCTTTTTTTAGACTTTAAGGTGGCTCAGGCATTTAATCTACAATACGCCATGAGTAGGGTTTGCTTTTTAATTAGAGAATTTTCATAGAGTTCCATTTTCATACCAAAGGAATTAATTTCTGTTTCTGTGCCATGAAGATGCAGGCAGACAATGGCTAACATTTATTGAGCACTCCTAATCAACCATGGCTGATCCAGTTCTCAGTACTTTGCATGCATTAACCTCAGAGTTGCTCCTGGGGGTGGGGGGTGGAAGGAAGAGACTGTAAGAACTATTATGGTTCACAATCTACTGACCCCTGGGGAAGAAACAGGTGCTTAGGGACAATTCTGTTGCAGTTTTAGGAATCATTAACAATTTAAAAGTAGAAAAGAAGCAATTTCCAAATAAATGAAAGCTCTTTTTTTTTGCAATGCTTGTCAGTAATGGTTAAAATTCCATTCCCATAAAAGCTAGGGACAATGAAATCAATGTAACAGCACATCTTCCAATTCAACGCAAGTCAATCCAAGTCATATAAGGAGGGGGAGGTCCCATTAGACTAGCATTTCTGAAGCTTAGAGCTACTGGCATTTTGGACAGTGCAGTTTTCTCCTATGGATGACTGTCCTGTGTGTTGTGGGATGTTCCATAGCATTGCTGGCTTCTACTGCTAGATGCCAGTAGCATTATTCCCTTTCCCTGTTTGAGACAACTTAAATGTAGTGTCTTTAGAGATAGCCAAATGTCCCCTGAGAAGGTGGGGTGGACTTGTCCCTTAGGCTGCCCCTGAAGCATGCTCCAGGAGGTTCACTTGATAATCAATCCTGCTGCCCACTTCTCTCTGCACCCTTAAAATCCTAAAACCTCTCTAATGAAGAGGGAAGGATTTATGGTTTACTTTACTGTGAATTACGTATCTTGTCACACACTACAACCCCAAAGCAGAATTCATGCCAAATTGTCTAGTTTTTTACTGACATGGTAAAAAAAAGGCCTTAATTTGGAAGTTCCCAAACTCTATCACACATTGGAATTGTTACACATATGCCTCTGTTAAGAGGAGGTACCATTTTTCCCAATCCCACGTACAGATTAGCCACTTTGAACTACAGGTTCCAGTGGATCGTGAATAGGACTTCCTGAGTGGGGAGCTACTGGGAAATAAAGGTGGATAAAAGCTTCTATGTTTGGTATATAACAACTCAGTGGACCTGGGAGATCTGGCTTCTGCAGCCCGGACTTGCACCCTGGTACCTCTTGTTGGCAGGACAGATGGTATTTGACTGTGTATTGGCCAATTAACGTCTCTCTCTCTCTTTTACTCTTTCTCCACACCTCCCACACCCCCACCTGCCTTTGTAAATAAGCTTCTTTTTTTCTTAATTTCTCTCTGTGTGTCTGCTTTTGGGTTTTGTCCTGAATTCTTAAGTGTACAGGTGAACACTCACACCCTGGTCACCTGTTTCCCTGGAGCTGTCCTGAAACAGAATCACTGGGGATTGTTAAGAGTTCTCACTGCTACACTCCTGCCTGGAAAACATTAGTTTGCGGTAACAAATCTGAGTCTCAACTTAAATCTTCTGTCTCTGTATGCCTGACCACAAATGTTTTTTCTCTTAGAGACCCTCACATCTGCATATTACACAAGTATAAGGCAAACACTGGAAAAAGTACTCTCCACTGGTAAGGCTCTTGAAATGACAGGAAAACCAAAATCAACAATACTTCCTTACGTTTATGTAGCACATTACAGTTTGCAAAATATATTGTTCTAAATGACAATTTTCAGACTTTTAAAAGAAATGCCTGCCCTAATGGAACTCTGGCAGGTTCTGAGCAGGATTACAAAGATTCTTATAATATTTCACCAAGCATTATTTTTGTTCACGTTTTATACATATATATATATATATATATATAAATCATTTTAATAAAAGATTAGAAAGAGAGAATAACCAGGAAGGTAGAGATCCTGGGGTTTCTGCCTAGGGTTAGAGGACAAATTGTGGAGGGTGGAGGAGAGGCAGGAGACAAGAAAAAAAAGACAGAACAAGACATTCAGAGGACTTTTTCCAAATTATCCTGTCTGAGAACAGAGGTAATTGTTTAGTCTAGGGAAAGAAAGTATTCCCTAGTGAGAAACAAAGCTTGCAGAGAGGAAGAGCTGCCTCCAGCAGCCCCTCACCACATGTGGTTACTCAGTGTTTGAAATGTGGTCCAGGTCAGATGTGCTTTGGGTGTAAAACATACACGAGATGTCAAAGACTGAGACCAAAGAATGCACTAACTTAATAATTTAAAAATACTGATTATAGGTCAACATGGCAATATTTTACATATTTTGTGCTAACTAAAATATGTCACTGAAATTAATTTCCTGTTTTTTTTTGTTTTCTTCTCTTTTTGGATGTAGCTTCTAGCAAATTCAGAATGACAATGCAGCACATACTGTCATCCTAGTGGAGATGTCCTCAGTGTGGAGGAATGTGCCTATTCAGTCTTGCCCATCTTTTTTTTCAGGTTGTTGCTTTGTTGTTGAGCTGCATGAGTTCTTTATACATTTTGGAAATCAACCTCTTGTTGGACTGATGATTTGAAAATATCTTCTCCCAGTGTGTAGGCTGTCATTTTGTTTTTGTAGTGGTTTCTTTCCCAGTACAGAAGTTTTGCAATTGATATAGTTACATTTGTTTAACTTTGCTTTTGTTTCCCTTGTTGTTGGAGCTGTGCCTCCTTATACATCTCTGAAGTTGATGTTCAGGGTTTATCACCTGTTTTCTTTTATGGATTTTATGATTTCAGGCCTTAAATCCAAGTCTTTAATCTATTTCAAATTAAGTTTTGCATATGGAGTTAGTTTCATTTTTTCTCCAAGTTTCCCAACAAACATTTGTTAAAGAGGTTTTCCTTTCCACATTGTATGGTCATCTCCTTTGTCAAAGAGTAACTATCCATTGTTGCATGGACTCATCTGGGTTCTCTATTCTATTCCATTGGTCTGTGTTGCTGTTTCTGTTGCAATACCATACAGCGTTGATTACTAACATTGCGTATACAAATTGAAGTCAGGGAGTGTGATACCTCCATTTTTCTCCTTTTCTCTCAAGAAATGCTCTGACTCTTCAGGGCCTTTTGTGGTACCATACAAATTTTAATATTGTCTGTATATTCTGTTTCCTTGAAAATCTCATTTGGATTTTAATAGCTATTGCACTGAATCTTCAAAATGTTTTAGGTAGTATGAGAGCCCTAGTTCTTCACTCATACTGGCCCCATCCATAATATATATATTTACAGCTGTGCCTCTTTAGTCTGATTCTATTCTCTTAGACTGTAAGTTCCTGAAAGAGGGGAAGGAAGATGGCCTACCTTGGACCTACTGTGTTTCCTAGTTTTAACTACCTGGTGTAGAGTCCATGGTTAGTATTTATAGAATGAATAAATGAGTTGACCAATGAGTGAGGCTATGTGAAGTAGATGCCAAGGTACCCGTGGGAGAATGGTAATCAGAGGAAGACCATGTGTAAGGAGTTGGATAGGGTGGAAGAGCAAGGAGATATACCTGAGGTCTGCCTGATGGATAGATCATGGGTGGGAAGTAAGGAAACAGCTGATGTGAAGAGGCAAAGGAAAACCACTGTGGGCAAAGAGAGGTCACAGAGATCCTGGAACAGCCCCAAGACCCAGCAGAAGACTGAGGGCACATATATTAGTGATGCCCCCACCCACACTTTGGGGGTTTGGCAGAAGTCAGGATCTGACATCTTCAAAGCCATTCTTAACAGTTCATTTTCTTTGAGGCAACATCTGTAATAAAAAATACTTTTTCTCATAAAAATGCACATAAATTTTTTTTTTCAAAGGTAAACTTAACTGTGTGCCAAGACATGAGCAGGGTGTGGTACTGGCACATGAGGCCTAGAGGTCCACGCGTGGCACTGTGTGGGTCTGTGATGGGTGAGGAAGCATCCTGTGAAGAGGATGATCCCATGTGGAGCACTGGCAATGATAGGGACTGCAAAAAAGCCAAGCCAGGGGTTCAGGGATGCAAAGAACCAACTCAGAACATGTGAGAGGAAATGCTATCAAGGTAGTATTAGTGCAGGCAGGGAGACAATGTTTTAGAGCAGGAATCAGCAAATATTTTCTGTAAAAGGCTAGTTAGTAGATCCCAATAAAACTTTATCCATAGAAACAGCAGCAGACTAGACTTGGCCCTTGGGCCACTGTTTATCAACCCCTATATGACTCTCCAGAAAATGAGGCCCTACCTTTCAGTCTAAAACCCCTTATAGAAAATATTTTATGTGAGCAAAGCTGTTGTGGGTTTCAGGAGTGTCCCATATAACACGATGGAGAGTTAACTAATCATTGAGGCAGAAAGAACTAAAATGATATTTTAATGTAGCAATAAACAGCAACCTTATCTCATTAGTTGACATGTTTTTCTTCTTTGATATTTCATGAAATGTGAATCAAAGGGTTTCTTCTGCAGGAAAGTGTCAGGTCTGGAATGAGGAGTAGGGAGCGAGAAGACCTGAAGAAATCTCATTTAAATATACTTTGGAAGGAAGGGGAGAAGAAACTATTAGTAAAACAAAAGCCACCCTACTGAATGGAAAGAAATATTTTGCACATCATATGTCTTAACAAAGGGATGATTTCCAAAATATATAAGGAACTCATGAAACTCAACACAAAGAAAATAATCCATTAACCTAATAAAAAAATTGGCAAAAGACCTGAGAGTATGATGGCCAACAGACACATGAAAGAATGCAAATTCAAATCACAATGAGATACCATCACACACTAGTGAGGATGGCCCACATCAAACAGACCAGAAACAACTGGTGAGGGTATAGAGAAAAAGGAAACCCCTACACTGTTGGAGGGCATGTAGACTGGTCCAGTCTTTATGGAAAGCAATAAGGAGATTCCTATAAACATTAAAAATAGACCTACCATATCACCCAGGAGCAATTCTGCTACTATTTTGTGTTTAACCAAAGAATATAAAAACATTAATTCAAAGGGATAGATGTGCTCCTAGGTCACTGCAGCCCTATTTACAAAAGTTAAGTTATGAAAACAGCCTAAGTGTACAAGGACAGAGGTTTGAGTCAGAAAAAGGTGGTATCTGTATACACAGTACAATACTACTCAGCTATTAAAAAAAGATGAGCTCTTGCCATTTGTGACAACATGGATGGAACTGGAAAGGATAATGGTAAGTGAAATAAGTCAGAAGGAAAGGACAAATATTGGATGGTTTCCTTTATATGTGAAATACAGAGAAACAAAAAAGGCTCAGTCAAAACTAAACCAGTAATAAACCCTTGACATCTGACTGCAAAACTGAGGCAAGCAGAAAGAGAGGATGGAGTGCGAGTTGGGAGGGAGTGGACTCAGTGGAACATGGTGGAAGATTTCTGGGGCTTTGGTAAAGGGCATGTTGTGTAAATATACATTTACAGAGGTTTAAACCTATAGCCCCAAAAGCAGATAGATACAACAATGTAAAACAATTTTGCCTCACTAATTTGAAGAAAATAAAAGTAGCAACAAATAATGTCTATTTTTATGTAAAAAAAGTTATTTATAAAAAATTTTGAAGAAAATTTAAAAAAATGACAGTATTTTGTAGGCCTAACAGCAAGGCCACACTTTTTCTTTTTTTTTTTTTTTTAATTGCATCTTATTTATTTTTTTAATTTTTTTTAAATTTTTTAAAAATAATTTTTCATTTTTAAACAATATTTGCTTCCCCCACCCACTCAGGTATAGTCCCCATAGAGTTTCACCAATGCACTGTGCACCATCACCTCAATCCCCTGTGCTCCTCCCTCCCTCCCTATTCCTCTCCCATGTCCTCCCCTGCAGGATGTCTCTGATTTATAATTGTCTGTTTTTGCTTTGTTGTGTTTTGTACTGTTATTATTTTTTTACACTGATGTCTTATTTGGTTCCCCTACATTCATTCCTGTTTTAAAAGCAAAACCAGGGCCTCCCTGGTGGTGCAGCGGTTGAGCGCTGGGTTGCAAAGCTGCCCGCTAGCTTCTGCAGCACCAGTTCGATCCCTGGCTGCTCCAGGGCCACCGGAGGAGGGTCCCCCATGGCACGCAGACCTCTCCTGCCGCCTGCTGCTCCCCTCAGCAGTGTACTTCGTCAGTCTGCCTGGTCTGCTCTCCTCTCTGACTCTGGTGAATTCTCTCACCCTCCCGCTCTTCTGACGGTAGTCAGTGCTTGTATAAACAATCAAACAAATAAATAAATCCTTTTTTTAAAAGAAGAAAAGCAAAACCATCCAATATTTTTCTTTTTCCTTCTGGCTTATTTCACTGAGCATAATTCCTTCTAGCTCCATCCACATTGCTGCAAATGGCATGATTTTATCTTTTTTGATTGCTGAATAATACTCCATGGTATATATATATACCACATCTTCTTGATCCAGTCATCTATTTTTGGGCATTTGGGTTGTTTGCAGGTTTTACCTATTGTAAATAGTGCTGCAATAAACATAGGAGTGCAGGTTTCCTTTCAAAGTAATATTTTTCTGTCCTTTGGGAAGATCCCTAGGAATGGAATTGCCGGGTCATATGGTAGCTCCATTTTTATAGACTGAGGAACCTCCACACAACTTTCCATAGTGGTTTGACCAGTTTGCACTCCCACCAGCAGTGCAGGAAAGTTCCTTTTTCACCACATCCTCACCAACATTTGCTGTAACTAGTTTTTTTAATATCTGCCATTCTCACTGGTGTGAGATGGTATCTCATTGTAGTTTTGATTTGCATTTCCCTGATTACAAGTGATGTTGAACATTTTTTCATATGCCTGTTGGCCATTCGCATTTCCTCTTTAGAGAAATGTCTTTTTAGCTCTTCTGCTCATTTTTTGACTGGATTATTTACTTTGTTTTCATTAAGTCTCATTAGCTCTTTGTAGATTTTTGTGATCAGTCCTTTATCATTAGTGTTTTGTGCAAAAATTTTCTCCCAATTGGTGGGGTATCTCTTTGTTTTGGTTACTGTCTCTTTTGCTGTACAGAAGCTCTTTAATTTGATGTGGCCCCAACTGTTTATCTTTGCCTTCACTATCACTGCTTTGGGTGATATGTCTTTAAAGATGCTACTGAGGTGTATGTTATGTAGTGTTTCAAGGCCACACTTTTTCACCGAGAGAGAACAGCTCTGGTCAACTGATCCCTACATACGGAGGGTTCTACTCTCCCTCCCTGAAGCCCACAGAACTCCCAGTGTCCTGTCATGGAGGGAGAGAATTTAGGAAACAAAGTAACAGCACCTAAACAAAAACAGGCACCTAAATAAAAAAGGCATCAGCACTGTGTGTGCCTATAATATAGGAAACAAAAAGCCAGAGGGAAAGAGTAGGCATTCCTGGCAGCGTAGGTCTGTGTCTGTGTGGGCAAATGTTGATGTAACTACAGTGGAAGAGTTGAAGCCTAATAGCAGCTTGTCTGCTTTGGAACGCAGTTGCCAAGCAATTCCTTCCCCTGGTGCCCTTGAGGGCTGAGGACATCTCCAGGGCTTCGCCTGTCAGAAGCATCGCTCACCGAGGTCAGTGCCTCCACATTGGCTCCTGTCAGACAGAGGTAGCGGACCACATCCAGGATTCCGTTGTTGGCTGCAAGGTGTAGGGGCGTTCGTCCATACTGAAAGAGACAAAAGAGACCTAATGATTCCTTCTCAAGGTTGTTGCTGAGGATGATATTTATGGAATCTATCCCCCAGGGTCAGCATTATGGAAGGGAGCGAGGACCCACCAGAAACGGGAGGCATAGTCTCTATTCTCCAGAAACACTATCTAGTGAGGCAAACAAGCCAAGCAGAACATTTTCAAGTATTTTTCAGTTAAAAGGCCAACTGAAAGGATGAGAGAGTGGGAGGTTTATCATAGGATTGTTAAATAGTTTCCTGCTGTGCTGGCAGAATGGAGGCATGAGTCAGGGCAGAGGGCCCCTGAAGTTCCAGTGCCATCTACATCACAGTTCAAATCTGGATATGGCAAGGGAAGAAGGGATGAAAGATCAGCCTTTTAAGACACTAATGAAAAACCTCAAGGTTGTGTCCACTATTTTTATGCCCATGATTTCCCAAACTGTGTGTTAACACACCTCAGGGCACTACCATGAAGCCATAGGGTGACCAAGAAATATTTTAAATTTTTAATGGAACCAGAAAATGTGGACACCAGGTCGACCACTAAACCCAGATAGTTCAGATTCAACAATAGATTGCGTTTCTTTCAAACACACCACGTCTTGGCATAGCAGGGATATGGGTTGGGGTGCTTGACAGGTGCTGTGATAAGCAGCAAATATCTTGAGAAAATCAATCTACTGCTAGAACAGGAAATAAGGGTCACTGTGTCCAATCTAAGTCCAAGGTTTGAGGAGTAGTGAGATGCCCAAAAGACACACACATCCTGCTAGCACACAATTGTGGTCATGTAAGGACGAAACAGAAACATTTGTTATCTTTCAGATGATGCGGACCATGTTTTTTCCAATAGCTATTAAGTTTTTAGGACATAAATACTAGATCTTTTGGACTGAACTGCATAATAAACAGAACTGTTGGGTATTTATTTTGCCCTAGAAGGAGTCATAAAAAAAATTACTGAGATGCTACATATGTTGTAAACTGAGAGTTGTTGTAAACTGAGTGTTGTCTTAGTTTTTGTTTGCCAACATAGGTTTTTGTTATGAAGTTATTAACATGTGCTCATTTAGACTATCCAAACAACATAAAAGGAAATGGTAGGAAACAAAAGTCCTCCTCCCCTACTTTCTTTCTTTAAAGATTTATTTATTTATACATACAAGAACTGGGGTACAGGCCAGAGGTGTGGGGGGTGAGAGGATTCACGAGAGACAGAGTAGGGAACAGGACAGGCAGACTGACTGAAATACACTGCTGAGGGGAGCGGCGGGAGAGTCAGGAGAGGTCTGCTGTGCAATGTGGGTCACCTCCCTGGCCGGGGATTGAACCTGGGCTACAGTGGCTGCAGATAGTTTCATAGGTTGCGTCTTAACCCCTTGTGCCAATAGGCAGGCCCTCTCCTGCCCTACTTTCTTTCTATCCCCAGATCCTCTACTCATAGCATCCTCTATTTATAGATGCTGGTATACTGCCTTCCAAGTTTTTAACTATGAATTCATAAAAGGAGATAAATTATTTGAAAAGACATGATGTTAGCCCACCTTGTATTGTGCAATTTCTTTACTCATTTAGCTATAGACTGTGAATACTTCTTCACATATGTAACTAAATCTATTACATTTTTAATATCTAGTAACATTCAATATGTGAATATGCCATAATTCATTGAGTCATTCCACTGAGGATGAACACTTATTATGATAGTTGCAAGTCTTTGGCATTATAATAATGCTGCAGTGTATGTTTACTGTTCTGTCTGATGTTATTATGTAGAGTGGTTTACAAAGCAGATATAAAGCTTTTGAAGATGTTGGAACTAAAGTGAGAAGGTAAAGAGGAAGTTTTGGGGATTTGGGCGAAATGTTTGGATGTATGTGTAAGAAAGATCAACTTGGTTATGGAATGTATAATTTTATAGAAGTGAAGGACAGTGAAGTGTGATGAAGAAAAAGCACAAAGAGGGGGCCTCCCATGTGGCACAAGGGGTTAAGTGACAGCAATACAAAGTTATCTGCAGCCACTGCAGCATGAGTTCAATCCCCAGCCAGGGAGCTACCCACATGATGCAGCAGACCTTTTCTGACTCACCTGCTGCTCCCCTCAGCAGTGTACTTCAGTAGACCCACCTGTTCTGTTCCCCACTCTGTCTCCGGTGAATTCTCTCACCCCCAGCACCTCTGGCCTGTACTCCAGTTCTCATATGCATAAATAAATAAATCTTTAAAGAAAAAGCACAAAGACATTTATACTTTTGAAGTTCCCTAATTTTTGATAGAAACCCAAACTCCTTAGAATTAGATTCAAGGGCTTTTCCAACTGTCTTTTTCTCCTGCATTCTGTCATCCCTATATACCTGCATAACAGGGATCCAAATAGTCCCCAAATACACACATACCCATCTGAGCCCTTCTTTCCCCTTTTCTTTGTCTATTGAAGACAGAAATATACTGCTGAGGGGAGCAGTGGGTGAGTCAGGAGAGGTCTGCTGCGCCATGTGGGTAGCTCCCTGGCCAGGGAGTGAACTCATGCTGCAATGGCTGCAGATAGCTTCATATTGCTGTTGCTTTGTCTATTAAATGATCACCCCAGAAAGCTTTTCCTGGTTTCTTTAATGTTCAGATGTCTATGTTTCCCATGGCAGTGGGTCTCTCCCACAGCAGTAACTGCAAAATGAGATGTTGTTATATTGAAATATCTGTGAGTCTGTCCACAAGGAACCTGAGGGCAAGAACCACGCAGTGCCTCAAGAATCACGCACTCTGCTGTGCACAGGCCCTTCATTTCATGCTGACGCTGTCGGAGACAGACACTGAGACACCTGCCGGCCACAGCCTTCTCTCATGTTCCTGGGTGTTATGTTAAGGGTTGTGCATTCTGCATTATCTAGATGTGGTCCTCTGGTGTTTTCTAACACGACTGAGTTAAACAGCCACTCTTCTGATTTGTATATGAGAAGAATGAAGAACACCTGTTTCACTGCATTAAGTGCCAAAGATAGTGACACATTACTGTCACATACTGGTGAAAGGGGTGGGATCTGATTGGTCATTTTTATTTCCGGAGGAATTGAATTGAGGTAAGGAGAGAGCAGGACATACATCAGGGAAAGAGAGTCTGCTTGTGGGATGTAACTGTCATTGTGCTGTGACCACATGGTCAGTGGCTAGGGTGAGTCTATGGAAAGCCAGATGTGCTTTCTGGGGAAATGAAGCTTTTCCCTTACTTTTATGAACACCTTTTAAGCTTCCCTAGAGCCCATCACCATTCCTAAGAAGACAAAACCAAAAAAATACCAGACTAACAAAGCAGATGCCAATCCCTCTGAAGAGGCGTGAGAGCCACAGTCTCGGTGTGCTGAGTCTGAGCACTGAAGACAAAAGAGTGAGACTCCTAGGGTAGGTGCGAGAACACAGAGTCACCTACGTAAACAGCACTGCCGTTCCAGGGGGCACTGGCTAAAGGCCTGAACCTTGCTGCTGATGCCACGAAATTGTAAAATGCGTGAATTTTGCTTCAGCTGAACTAGCTCAGTGACAGATCATCTATTGAATATCCTCTGTATCTTTACTCACTGCATACAATAAAAACATGTTATATCGGCATTTTGGAACCGCCATGGCCATTTTCAAGATCATAAATGTAAAGACTTTTCCATTAAATAAAAAAATTGCTTTTAGACATGCAACATGCTGGGTATTTCATGAAGTGTATTTATAATAGGTGTACTTGCTGCATTTAGGAGTAGGATGAACACCCATTCCTTTCTTAGTATTAGGGTCAAGCAGCCCTCACTTGCCTCCTCCACCTTCACAGGAGACAGCTAATCCAGCTATACACACAATGGCTAAGTCTAAAGGTATTAAAATGAGACCCACAATGTTCCTTGAAGATGCTTTTTATTCACTAAAAACTCCGGGAAAGAAAGCCAAGGTCTTGATGCTGCTTAATATTGTATTAAATTTGGCTTTCTCCTTCAGCACTTACATAATTGACTTCGCAAGATTAGAATGGGATAAACTATGAAAACAACTAGCACTAATGGCTAAGACTTAGGGATAGTGCTTTCTCATATTTTCAGAATTTGAAGATTACCAATTTCAATTTCCATTAGAATTAATCACATAACATACAAGAGGAATAAATTTTTGTAGATACATAATTTTCCAGCTCACTCAAATATTAATTCTTTTACCTCAAATAAATCACATTTCTGCTGGCATGTATGCCATTTATAAACAAATATTTCCTGTAGTTAAAAAAATAATTAAACTTGGACTTGTTTTCAACGTGGTAACTTTTGTATTAAAACCACATGAAGGGGCCTCCCTGGTGGTGCAAGGGGTTAAGACACAATCTATGAAGCTGTCGGCAGCCTCTGCAGCACAAGTTCGATCCCACGGCCGGCCAGGGAGATACCCAATTGGCACAGCAGACCTCCTGATTCGCCCGCTGCTCCCCTCAGCAGTGTACTTCGGTCAGTCTGCCTGTTCTGTTCCCTACTCTGTTTCTGGTGAATCCTTTCACCCCCTGCACCTGTGGCCTATACCCCAGTTCTTGTATGCATAAATAAATAATCTTTAAAAAAACAAAACACATGACTATCTGGCTGTTGTCTCTTACCTGATAATGAAAATTGGGATGGTATTCAAGAAAAATGAAGATGTTAGTTAATTTCTAAACGTCAACACAATGTTGATTTTTAAAAAGCAACCTACAGCGGTTGAGTGCTGGGCTGTGAAGCTGCCCACAGCCTCTGCTGCGCTGGTTTGATCCCCAGTCACCAGCGCCGGCAAGGGTCCCACATGGCGCGACAGACCTCTCCTGCCGTGCCCGCTGCTCCCCTCAGCAGTGTGTTTCTTCAGTCTGCCTACTCTGTTCCCCACTCTGACTCTGGTGAATTCTCTCACCCTCTTGCGCTTCTGACTGTACCCAGTGCTTATATAAATAAAAATAAATCTAAAAAAAAAAAAATCAACCTAGAAGCATATAATCATTTATTTTCATCATTATTCACCAAATGACAGCATTCCTTAGATCTTACCAAATTTAACAAGATGTTATCAACCTCTGACTATAAAACTTTCAATGGGGGAAACCTAAGAAGAGAATCCTTTCCTAGGAATCTCAATCAAATTAGACTACTCAAGAGTGATAAAAATGCCTTTTGTTATGTGAATACTTGAATACAGTGACTTTTGTAAGCAATGAAGGATGGAGTGGGTTGCAGTAGAACCACTAAAGGGATTAGAGAGCTGAAACTTTCAGCCACACTCCTAGATTTCAGGCAAGGGGAGGGGCCACAGGTTGAACTCAACATAATAACACTGTTAATGATCAGTGAGTTCATCAGTCAAGCATAAATAAAAGCCAAAAGGAGGATGAGATAACTCTAAGGAAATAAGCCAAGGAGAGGTGCCATTTCCCTGCCTTGAGTTACATGTCCCAGTGTGCCATGAACTGGAATTCCTGAGACGGGGGAACTACTAGGATCTAGGGTTGGAGATAAGCAGCCATGCTTGGTATGTAAGTGAACACAAGCAGGCTTGGGAGATCTTGCTTCTGTAGCCCCAGCTTATACCTTGGTGCTGCTGGAAGAAGATCAGAGGAGATGCATGGAGACAGGGAGGAACAACTGGAATAGACAAATGGCTGGAGACATGTGGGGAGGCTAAGCATGGCTGCTGTTATCCTGATTTGTATTTTTGTGTCCCTTCTTCTACCCCAGTTTTGCCTGGACCCTTTCTTGTGGTTCTGTCAGCAGGTGTTTTGGATTTGTGACATGGTTTTGGGCCTCCACAGCCCTGCTTTGGGCTGACCTTGTTTGGTTGGGCATTTGTCCACAAGGGGATGGGTAATTTGGGGTGTTTTATTGGGAAACTACTATTAGGATTATCCTTTCTTCTCTTCTCTCTCTTTGCACACTAATTCTCTTTAAAGATCTTCCAGATAAGAGTCTGCTTTTCTTGCCTTTGTGAATGAGGATAGCCAATTCCTTTTAGAGCATGCAAGCCTTTACACTTGGGGTTCCTGGTCATGCTAACAGGAGGAGGCTTCCGAGAGCTTCAAGGTTGGTGAACATGTAGAGATTTGTGGAGACTTGTGCATCTGGAAAGTGCAGGGAAGCTCTTTGCCCTTTCCTTATGCTTTGCTCTATACATCTCATCTACTGGGCTATTCCTAAGTTATATCCTTTGCAATAAATTAGTAAAGGGGTTTCCTGAGTTCTGTGAATTGCTTGAGTAAATTAATCAAATTTGCAGAGGGTGTTCTGGAAATTTCTGGTCTATGGAGTTGATCAGAAGCACATACTAACATGGGCCTGCAACTGGCACCTGAAATCTGAAGGGGAGGGGGTTGCAGGAACCTCTACTCTATAGCTGGTACCTGTCAGGAACCCTACCCACCTCTATAGGAGACCTGTCCCTGTCTGTCTGTCTCTCTCTCTTTCTTTTTGCCTATTAGTGAATAAACAAAATATAAAATTTTCTGGAGATCCTATCCCTGGCACAATAAATGGACAAAGCCATCTTCACATGCCCCATTTGTATATAGAAGTCTGCTGCCTGAAATTGTAAGTCAGCCTTTCCAGATAAAGAATATTTAACAATGGAAGCCAATATTCACACCTCGGTAGGGTTTTCCTCAGAAAGGAAACGATTAAATCTTGATTGCTTTCCTCTAGCATCAGCATATCTTCAAATTAGGACAATTATGAACCAGAAGTCCCTCCTATCAAGAATAATCACATTCTTAAATGTTAATGACTCACTGCTTTACCTATACAAATTAACTTCAAATTTATATTTACCAGAACAGCTCTCACAGGAAAAATCTCTTTGGATGCTTCCAGGGTTTGGAGCCTAACTCTGATTATCTAATAAACTCTTTATCTATCACTGAGACTTTATTTTTCATGGTAAACCAGGCTAGTCAAGAAGAACTTATTGATGTAATAATTTTCTGTTATTCATCAGTCTTATGCAAAACATGACTTAAAATGGAGAGCCCTATTAAAAGGACAGGTCCGCATGAGTAATAATGACTGAACAATGAAGACATGTGAAGAGAAACTTGACCCAAACCCAGAAGCAGGTGAATGGACCCCAATGGGCTTTGCATGTCTTTTTGTTCAGGGTTACCTTGTTAGAGATATCCAAATTGCAGTTTGCTTCACAGAGGGCCACCACAATTGGCATGTTTCCATCTTTGCAGGCCACATGGAGTGGGGTGTTGCCATGCCTGTCTTGGAAATCAATGAAACATCCCTGGCTGATGAGAATTTGGATGACCTCCATCTGACATCGTCTTACAGCAAGATGAAGAGCAATGTGTCCATCCTGCAATAAACACAGGGGTTGTGAGCACTGTCACAGGTACATGGGCCTGGCCACTCATCTTCTTAGCTGCCACTAGGCTAGGCTTAATTGGAAATGGGATGGCTATTGTAAAGCCTAAAGGAGGATTAAGTGGCAGTCACACCTGGGGGCTGGGGCAAGATTCATACAAACCACTCTGCATAATCACAGCTTGATTCATCTGGGCTTTACAGTAATAGCAGATTGTACATTTTTGCCTCTGAATTTATAGGGTAAGTAATAATTGGGATTCCAATAGCTTATTTTATCAAGTGTTTGGAAAACATTTGCTTAACAAACTTTACTAACTTCTTAAGCAGAAAGTCTATTATCTTACACCAGGAGAAACTGAAAAAGCAATGCAAGGTGTTTGCTCAATTGGTCTTTATCTACTAGATCCCAGTAGTAACCTGCACCCCTGGTGGGACAATCAAAAATGCCTTTAGCCGTTACCAAATGTTCCCTGGGTGGGCTTGAGAGCCACTCATCTGTACCAAGAAAATACTCCACAACGGCAGTTACCAAATCTGATTACATATGGCAACATCAAAACCTCATCTTAAGTACAAGTTCACAATCACAATAGATTATGCTGAATTTGCTTAATTAAAATTAAAAGGAACTTTTGGTCTAAAATTGATGTTATCAGACAAATAAGAGCAGCCTATTGTCCTCTACAGAGCAACAGGTAATGGAAATAAGTAAACCACTTATGCTTTGCTTATCTACAAAATAATCATGCATTGCTAGTTTTAGCCCTAAATAAGGATTGTCTTGGGCTCAGTGATTATCACTGTACCTGTTCCAAAGCTAAAAACATAAAAAATAATACAGAAAACTGAGTATGACCAATTCATAAATTTTGTTACATGCAACAAATGAATATTAAACAGACACCAGAAAACTCACAGAATCCCTGGAACAGAGAAGAGAAAGATAATTTTAATTTGCTGCATTTAAGCTTGTTATTTTGCATAAATTGAGGAGTCTTGTGACCTCTCCAATCCCCAAGCTCACTTCTTAGTAAGTGTGACACATTTACCCACAAAGCACCTTGTCAGAAGCATTAAGGTCAGCCCCGTGCTCAGCCAAACACTCCACGATGTCATGGTAGCCCCTGGCAGAGGCGGTCAGCAGGGGTGTCTCTCCTTCCCGGTTCTTAATGTTCACATTGCAGCCGGCTTCACAAAGCGTTTTGGCCACAGCATAGTAGCCATGCCAGGCAGCACAGTGCAGGGGAGTTTCTTCCTCCTGCCCAAGGAAGCATAGAGGAGGACAATGCTAAAGCACAGAAGAAACTTACAGGCACAGTGAGGGTCTCCACACAATTTGATGGCAAAGCAGTCAAGGCAGCAGGAAACTTATGTTATTGGAGTGAAACATTAAACTGAAATAATGGACACAGGTCTGATGTCACTTCTTCATTAGTTTTCTTTCCTCAACACTTAGATGCTGGATGAATTTGGCTTTCTCAATATCTGACTGACAAGTGGCTTCTGGAAGCCTACTGGAACCATAAATTCAACTCTTCTGAACAACAGAACCCAGTGAGGATGGATTAAGTCAGCTTTCTTGTAAAAGGGCTTTCATCTGAGACTACTAAACAGTAGGAGAGTATTCTCTGAACAAGAATTCTTCTAACCATAACGCTTCACCATTTCTGTTATGTGCATAACACAAAAAATGAATCACACAAGTGTAATATTACTCTGGCAGAGAAGTAGCTGAGAAATCGAAACTTTAACAAGTCAAGGAAAAGGTTGGTTATGGGGTTGATAGGCCTGTACAGACCTAGATATCCACAAGCAGCTTGTTAGACACATGCCATATCATGCAGTGGGTCATGAACACAGACACTGCAACCAGACTGTGAATGCAAACCCCAGCACCACCACTAAGTGCTGCAGGAGGCCTTGTTGCTCCAGCCAGATAAGATACTGACAAGCAGCAAAGAAAAAGGGCCTCATACCGTGGGGCTGAAGATCTGGCATTCCTTTGCTTTTTGTTCTTGGTCACAGAGAGAGAAAAATTTATCAGAAAGTATATTAGGCAATAAATTATATGTATCAGCATACTGTAAGTAAATAGCAAGGATAATTGTTTGTTTAGAAACTAATTATTAAACAATTTGGCCCACTTGACAATGGGAGATGGTTTATTAAACATGCCTGACAAGCATTACAATACAACTATTATTGTAAGTTCTTTTTTGCCTTCCCTTGCAGTTTCTTGGGAAAGTTTTTAAATGAAACTATTTAAGTTAAGAAGTTTCTAGGTAGAGAAAGTTCTGATAGCTGAGTAGCAGCCGGCCCCTGGTGTAAAGGCCATAAGAATAAGAAAAGTTCTTTCTTTGCTTAAGCTTTAGCTGATGGGAATGTTCTGGTGACTATCAATTGTGTTAGGTTATTGTTTAGCTAAAACAATGAATTTTAGTGTAAGACTTAGTTTTTTATTGCCTTCTTGCTGAGAGCACAAAAAAGAGATGCGCTAATTGTTTCTACTTTGTTTCTATGAACTTGATAATGTAATCTCAATGCTTGCAAAAAACGTATAAATAAAGAATCTGCTGAGCCTTTCGGGCAGAAGATACTGGCACCTCACCAAGTGTCAGTGTCTCCTCATTCTACCTCATCCCCTTCCCCTCAGCCCCTAAGTTTCAGATCATTCGTATTCGCCGAGGCCGTCTCATCCTTTCAGGAACCCTGACACGACATTTTGCCGGAGGCTGGTCCCCGGCAAGTGGCGCTCGAACAGGGACTTGAAAGGTAAGATTTCTTTCCCGTGCGGGGACGGCTAGGATCTGCTCCATAGGGTAGGGCGCATACCCGCCTGTAGAGAAAGCAGGTTTGAGGGGAGCAGTAAGTCAAAACCGTAATCAGGCGAGTGAGTGTCTTATTACGTGATAAGGCGAGTGAGTGTCTTATCGTTGAGAAGCATTGGGCCATATTGAGTCTAAGGAAAGAGGACTCTTTATTGATATAAGTATACTTGTTAAGAGAGGCCTTAAGACCTCTCATGCGCAATTGGCTAGTTTCCTAAATTTTGTTGAGATATGTTGTCCTTGGTTTCCAAAAGATAGAAGAAAATTATGGCTGCCTGCATCCCTAAAGGGCATTAAAGAGGACTCAGCTGACAGCCCTGTATTAACAAAACAGTTGCCTGAACAAATAGATCGTTTTTGCCTGGCTGGAGGCAAAATGAAAAATGCAAAACAAAAGGTAAAAGAAAAAATAGCCTGCAGTATTAGAGAAAGTGATCAGGATTCTTGGGATAGTGAAATTGTTTTTCAAAAGCCAAAAGTTGATTCTAGAGCCAATACTGACCTCTTTGCAGAGGCATTGGCTCCCAATTATGAGACCATTCCAAAATCTAGCCCAAATTTCCAGCCCGGACTTGGTTAAAATTGTTGAGATAAAAATAAAAACTCAAAAACAAGTAAGAAATAATGTGTCATGATCTTAAATGAAAAAAAAAAAAAATGCTCCAATCTTTTCCTGTTAATTATTTGGGGAGGAGGCTAGGTTCCCCCTGGTGGAGTTTTGCCATTTGTTTCTTTTAAAATAAATAAATAAGGCATTTTTAAATAATAACATTCAAAGTTCATTCACAATTGGTAAAGTAATAGAAAATGGTTAAATATGACTATGTAAGATTATACGACTATAATATGACTAAAAGGTTTTTATTAAAATAGTATAAACCCACTGCGGTGGACAGGTGGGGGCTGCCCTTGATCTCAGCAAGCAGCTGCCTGGACTTTTTCTCCAGTGTTGGGATCACTGGCAGGTCTCTACTGCCTTCCTGCTGTGGGGGACTGAACTTTTCTATTGTCCACCTTAAAAAATTATTTTGGTTCATTCTACAAAAAAAGTTCCATTTCCCTGTATTTCTCTGATTTTAAAGTCTAAATTGTCTTAGGCAAAAACTGTTGAGTTACTTTTGACTTGCTAATAAGCTATATAGAATACTTATTGGTTGAATAAAAGCTTTTAATTTTACTTATTGGACCTGTAAAAGGTTAAGTTTCTTGTTAAAACTAGCTAACCTGGTAAAATATAAAGTAATAATATAGACATTTTTGAGCTAAATTCTAAACCTCAGTATCTTCACACATATTGGTAAAATAACTATATTTTAAAATATATGCACATGGCCAAAAATTTGTATGTATATCAAGAGATCTCTGTGTCTGTTTGTGTCTGTCTTTGTGTTTTTGTTTTGTTTTGTTTTTTACCTCCAGAGGACTAAAAATAAATGGCGCCTATATAAATTCTCATAAAAACAAATTTTGACATCATCTTCCAAAATTTTTAATATGCAAAAACTAGTTCAAATTTTATGATATAATTCAAAGCATATATGCCTTAAAGTTATGTTAAATATTAATAATCTACTCTGTGTAAATGTATCTTTAAAGTATTTTTCTTTCCTTGACTAAAAACGTATATATATGCATATATGTATGTATATGTAAAAATTTTTTTGTCATATTAACTTTACCAAGTGCAACTAAGCTATACTGTTTTTAAGTCAATTTTAGTAATCTGCTATGTTTAGAGTAGCATTTTGGGGTTGTGAACACACAAAGCACCTCCTTATGTTCTGGACTACTGAAAAAAAAACACCATCATGATTTGTTGAAAGTTTCAGTAATGTTTGAAGAAAAGAAAAAAAAAAATTAATGACTGATGGTTAATTTAAAAAAAAAGGTAAGGAAAAGTAGTTTTGTCTTAAAATTAAAATGTCTGATTGTGCCAAAATCTGGAAAAATAGGAAAAAAAGCTAAAATTAAGGGTATATAGTAAGTTGTAGAAGGTTTGAGGAAAGTAAATATTATTTGCCTTAATTTATAAAACCTGCAAATAATGGGTTTGAAGAAAAACAATGATATGTATTGGAAATTTGGCTGTATTACATTATTTAATCAATTTATTCATTTGATGGAAAAAAAACTAATTAATACTAAATCTTGCTTTCGTGTGGCCACACAGGCCATTTCAGTAAAAGTTATCAACATTGTGGTGCTGGACTAAACCGGTGCCTTCATGGAAATTTTGTGTTGTTGTTTCTGTTGTTTTTCTGATATTTATGACAAAGCTTCCCAAAAATCTAAATTCAAGTTCAAATCTGATAGACTGTCATTTGGCTAATGCAAGGAAATTTTGTGGAACCCCATTAGAGCTCCTGAGACACTCCACAAGGTTTCTCCCTTTCCTCTGGGAAAGGTGTTAGATAAATTTGTTCTATTTGGTAAAACTAAAAAAAAAACATTGTCATTTGGGATAATAATAAAACTTTGGCATGTACAAAAATGTTAACACTGGTCTTCTAAAATGTGCATAAAACCTCTCAGTACCTAATATGTATACAAATTGTCAGTGGTAATTGTCACCTTGTAATATTGTATACTTCGGATGTTTATTATTTATTGTTTATTGATTGTTATTACAAAAATTGTTTCTGAAAAAATAGAAAAAAAAAAACCTCAATAAATTCCTATTAATAAAACTGTTGAGAGTACAAATTTCCTACACAGGACTAAATATACCTAATATTTTCTAAGTGTTTTTTTTGACATAATACTGGTAATTTTTTTGCATTTTGTTCTGAATCCACAAAGTTTTCTTATTTTGGTGACCATGATCTACAGCAAAGTTGCAATTCTTTTTTCCAGCAAAGCTAACTTGTGTTTGCATTTTCTCTCCCCTTGATACCAACACAACATAAAAATAATGGTAGTACTCTTTTACTACTTATCTCAGAGTCTGTTTTTACATAACTTCCATAGGAATTTTGTCTGCTTAAACAAACAAACAAAAAAATTGGACATAAGTTTCATTGTGTGACTTTGTGTGGAGTTCTTTCAAAAGTTAAAACAGAACTAAACCAAAAAGAGAAAAACCTGTTTGCTTCGTTTGTAGGGTTCCAGAAACCTCCAGAAAAGGTGAGGAAGCTTGCCTCCATTGGCAGGACTGAATAACCCAGCCAACGAAAAGTCCCTAGTACCCTCATGGAGAGGAAAGCCCAGGTGGAGTCTGATGAGACCAACTTTGTTCCTGAAGCCTACATAGACCGAATGCCAACAGTTTGCTCTGATCGTATATAAAGTGTTCCAACAAAGCCAGCTAAAATTGCTGTTTAGTTATTCAGCCCTGTAATTGTATACAAAAATAGGTAATATGGTTTAAAAGTAAATTTAGTTTACAAACTTTTGCTATGCTGTTAAAGTTTGGGATCAAGGTTGGAAAAATTTGTGTTTTACATAAATTAAACCATATTAAAAATTTTTTTTTCTGAGACTTTGACATATTTGCTGTTTTGTTTTGGCTAATGCCTCTAAATTTTTTTTTTGCTTGGACTAATGAGCTGTTTTTCCAGAAATGGAGGACTTTTACTTTCTACAATGGACAATACCTGGAGGGACTAATTTTCTTTCACACTGAAACCCGGTAAAATTTTCATCTAAGACTACATTCCAACATCCATATATTCGATCTTCATCACCATGAAAATAATGGTCAAAAACAAAAAAGGGGGAGATGCTGCAGGAGGCCTTGTTGCTCCAGCCAGATAAGATACTGACAAGCAGCAAAGAAAAAGGGCCTCACACCGTGGGGCTGAAGATCTGGCATTCCTTTGCTTTTTGTTCTTGGTCATAGAGAGAGAAAAATTTATCAGAAAGTATATTAGGCAATAAATTATATGTATCAGCATACTGTAAGTAAATAGCAAGGATAATTGTTTGTTTAGAAACTAATTATTAAACAATTTGGCCCACTTGACGATGGGAGATGGTTTATTAAACATGCCTGACAAGCATTACAATACAACTATTATTGTAAGTTCTTTTTTGCCTTCCCTTGCAGTTTCTTGGGAAAGTTTTTAAATGAAACTATTTAAGTTAAGAAGTTTCTAGGTAGAGAAAGTTCTGATAGCTGAGTAGCAGCCGGCCCCTGGTGTAAAGGCCATAAGAATAAGAAAAGTTCTTTCTTTGCTTAAGCTTTAGCTGATGGGAATGTTCTGGTGACTATCAATTGTGTTAGGTTATTGTTTAGCTAAAACAATGAATTTTAGTGTAAGACTTAGTTTTTTATTGCCTTCTTGCTGAGAGCACAAAAAAGAGATGCGCTAATTGTTTCTACTTTGTTTCTATGAACTTGATAATGTAATCTCAATGCTTGCAAAAAACGTATAAATAAAGAATCTGCTGAGCCTTTCGGGCAGAAGATACTGGCACCTCACCAAGTGTCAGTGTCTCCTCATTCTACCTCATCCCCTTCCCCTCAGCCCCTAAGTTTCAGATCATTCGTATTCGCCGAGGCCGTCTCATCCTTTCAGGAACCCTGACACGACATTTTGCCGGAGGCTGGTCCCCGGCAACTAAGAACTATGTGACCTTAGGCAAGTTACTGAACTTCCACTTGCCTTAGACCCTTAACTGAAATTTGAAATCAGAGGATTATCCAGAGGGTCAAAGGAATGAATGAATGTTAGTACTTCTGTTTGATCCCCTGCCTTCTGTAACTTAAGTAGAAAACTAACTTTGGATAAAACCCAAAGGACCCAACCATATCGTTTAGCTACCTGTCCACCCTGCTGAGAGCAGGAGGAAGTGAGGGCAACAGCTACCATGACCCACCTTGTCCTGGAAATTGGGATTAGAGCCAAAGTTGCACAGTAACTGAACCACGTCAGAATGGCCATAACGAGCTGCCACATGAAGAGCTGTCTCTCCAGACTGCAAAAGAAACAAAGGGTCAGGGACCCCCTGGAAATAAGCTGTGGGGACTCCACAGCACTGGAGGTCCACCTATGCTGGGCTCCACATCCTCCCCTTTGTGGGGGCCCGCCTCCCCCAAACCAGGTGTCCCTTTGGTAACTGAGCTAGGAACCTAGGGTAGCCCCAATACTTGGTTTATCCTGTTTGTCAGAACTCCCCATTATCTCATATGTGACTCTCAGAGATTTTTTAAAACACCATTATTAGCTCATAAAATAACATCCTGTGAAATAGTAAAAGGTGCAACTTCCTTGTGATATTTTACTTATATTTGCCAAAAATTGTCAGAATAAACTATTATAAAAAAACAAGATACTTCATTGCCACCTGACAGAAAACTGCCGTTTAATAGACACATGTGTCTTTGAAGTGAATGTCATTCTTATATACGGTGCAGTGAGCAACCCACAAAAGTTTATGTGGAGTCGTGATATAAAGTGACAATTGAGTCTACAAGTCATTAGAAGCAGAGAAGGGGTGCCTGGCAGAATTCACAATGATGTGTGGGTAGGACTCCCAGGTGCAGCTTCCATGAATGCCACTTGACTCAAAGGATGGTTGTGCAGTCTGAAACATGCAGATATCTTGTTAAATCAATAATTTGTCTATTTTTGCCTCAAAAGGCTTACTCTACATGCATTGTCTCATTAATCCTTCTAGTACCAATGATTATAAGGTCAGCATTGTCAGTCACTTCAAAGATGAAGAAAATGGTAAAGAATTGTGTTTAAAGGCACCAGGCAAGTCAGAACTCAGGTCCCTGGTTGTCCTTCCAGTAGAAATTTCAGTCAACATGTTAAGAGGCAGGTAAATCATAACTTGCATATTATGTCAACTACCTGGTAGATTTCAGCTCAAGGCAGATTTTAATAACAGAGTAAGCTACCCCAGCAAAAAGAAACTTCTATATTAAATTTTCTGTCAGAAGATATTGGCTTTGAATCCTTGTTCTTTGGGTCCTGATGCACATGGCATATCAATATTTAAGAGCATCCTTTAATTACTTCTTCCTGTCACTGAGAAGAGAAGTGACCTTACCTTGTCTTTAACATTCAGGGGGCATTTGTTCTCACTGAGAAATTTCAAGGTATCTACGTGGCCATGCCGAGAGGCCCAGTAGATGGCATTGGATCCACCCTGTACAAACACCAACATGGAGTCACATTCCCAAAGAATCCATGGGTCTGAACACACGCATCACTCAGACTCACTGTATTTCCCTTCCCACGTGACGGCAAACTCCAAAGGAGCAATTTCCAAGAGAAATAAAATTCCATTTTTTAGTTTTGACAAATAAACCCTGGTTATGCCAGGACATTAACATTGCAGGAAATAAATAAAAGGTTTTCAAATAAATTTCAAAATAAAAGGTTTTTTTTTTTTTCCATTAAAAGGCTTCATTTTAACCTCTGCTAGAATTCCCCGTTTTGTAAAGGGCCAGATCCCACCACTTTTATCCCTTGAAAGTCAATGGAAGCTGATGACAGATCCACTGAAATGACCACTAGCTATTAATTGTGATTTTACTTCTTTTTGTTAACAGATAATTCTTTTTTTTTTTTAAGATTGATTTATTTATACAAGAACTGGGGTACAGGCCAGATGTGCAGGAGGGTGAGAGGATTCACCAGAGACAGAGCAGGGAACAGAATAGGCAGACTGAAGAAATACACTGCTGAAGGAAGCAGCAGGTGAGACAAGAGAGGTCTGCTGCGCCATGTGGGACCCTAGCCGGCCAGCTGGGATCGAAGCCGTGCTGCAGAGGCTGTGGACAGCTTCACAGTGTGGCGCTCAAATGCCTGTGTCACCAGGGGAGGCCCGGTGATTTTACTTCTAATGATATTTTTATCTTCAGTGTCTCATCCTTACTCTGTTGCCTTATTAGACATATAGCAAACACACTTCTGATGAGATTAATAATGCAAATTTTTCCAAACATGACTCCTGAGTAAATGTGGGGAGTGAAATCTGTGTAGTGTACAAAGAGCTGATGTCAAGCAACAGACTCCAAATGCTTGCCTCTTTATAACGTACATTAGACTGTCAGGCTATGGAAGCAGTTTATCTTCCTTCATGGAAAACTGAGAAGTGAAATAGGGTATACATGTTTTTCTGTTACTGCTGTGATTAGGAAACATTTGGAAATACTTAAACAATTAATAGATTTACAATAAAACAGAATTATGACCTTATCCTGGACATCGATTCTTGAGCCTCTCTTAATGAGCAACTGTAGTATTTGAATATTCCCACAGCCAGCAGCAATAAGCAACGGAGGTGTCCCATGCTGGAATAGGCAAGAAAAATAAATAGAATTTTTCAGGTTTAGTAGGAAAAAAGTCCAAACTATCACTGCCATCCCACTCCTTCTTAAGTCTCAACTGGGATTTACCTACTGCTATGTAAAGGGACTGGAAGACAGAAGAACACACTGGCTCTACTACTTTTAGATTTATAATCCAAATAACATTTCCATTTGAAAATGAGACAATTAAAATTTCATGGATAAAGGTGCAATAGGTGCAGAGAAGAAAGGCCCACAATACAGAAAGATCTTATTTCTAATTTGATTCACTCTCTAAACAGAAGTGATTTTTCCTACAGCATGGAGTTTTGCAAGAGGGAGGGAAAATGGAGAAGCAGATGAAGTCTTTCCACCTTCAACTTAGAGGTGCAGAGTGACCCTGACCCGTGACACACACAACTGCTACCTTTAGCCTCCACCACACTGCCCCTGGCAGAATAAATCCAGACCTTGTTGGGTTGGTTAACATCATAGCTGGACAATGAACCCAGGAGGTGCTGCAGGCCTGGGACATTGTCATCATTGATGGCATGGATGATGGCTTTCATCACAAAGGAGTCTTCCTCATCCTTGAGAAAAAAAGAATGACTTAGCTTGCAGGCCATGATCTGCTTATGAACATAAGAGAAATCAATGCTTGATTGTTAACAGGAACATTCAGAATGAAAGAAGCCACTGAAACCCCAAATCCACATGATCATGAAGGGAAGAAAGTAGGTTACTTTTAGCCACTTTAATGTTGAAAACTAACATCATCTACAATTTTCCTGTGCCTTAATGTCACCTGCATTGTGAAACAGAGAGCACACAGCATTCAAGATTGAGATTTAGAACAGTAACTGGTGACAAATTATCCTTTGTATTTAATCTTAAGAGTCCTTAAAATAGTCCCAGAAACCACTCCAGAAAATTTCAGGTGTAACTCAAGACTGAAAACCACAGAACCAAAGAAATGATTCTGTTGAAGAAGATAAATCTTTTTAATTTGTAATTTCTCCACTTACAGAACTGTCATTTACTGATCACTGGAAATTCTTCCCTCTCTAGCTAGAGAATAACAAGACAAAATTCTCTGAAATCTATTCACATTTTTTTTTTAAATTCCCTAAAGGGGATAAATCTAAAAATATAGACCAGAAAAAGGAAAAACGGGTGCATTTTTAATTATAGGTGGAAAATAACTAAAGATGTTAAACAAAAAGTTTGTTAAATTTTTGCCACTACGCCAAAGTTCTCTTATATTAAGATTCTCCCCAAATATGGTATGCTAAAACCCAAGAATAATAAGCTAAAAATTCCAAACAAAGTTTCTAAACTTAAAGAGGTAACGATTCCTGAAATTTCCAGTCTGGAAAAGCACGTCACTAGCCGATGATGATCCTTGCCTGTAGGGCAGAATGGGAAAAATATTTCTCTGCACTCTCTCTTCTCTACAGATTTGAATCCAAACAAACTTTGTGAGGTTTTTAATAATATCTGTAGAATGCATGTTTAAAAATGCCATTGGATTTGCCTTTCTATCATCATAGTAGTTAATGACTAAGATACTGTATGAAAATGAAAAACAAGAGAAATGGGAAAACGGGAAGAATATGCAGGTTGTTACAACCAGCCCTCCTCATCACAGGTATTAAGATGAGTAGAGAAAACATGAGGTTGGGAAGGGGGCTTCCCAGCTGGAGCTTTTACACAACCATGGGTCTCTTACTCTGGATTTTTTATTGCACTATGTACAATTTCCTACCAGCTCACTATTTATGATAACTTTAATTTATTTCATTTATCTCTCTAGATTCCACTGCCACCATCTAACAATTCCCCAATCCACTCCTCTCCCTTTCCTAACTTGCTTCCTTCTGATTTCTTTTTCCTTTCTAACATTTCCTATCTCTTTTCACTCTATAAGGCTAGACCTGCAGTTTCAGTGAAACAAGCTTCAAGTCTAGTGATGTGCTCTTGGCTGGGGAGTCCCCAGATTCTGCTCAGGAAATGGTGACTATTCAGTTACAGGAGCAGGATAGTTTCCACAGCACCAGCCTTTCTGCCTTTACTGAAGTTCCCTCTGCCTCCAGAGCTCACAAGCCCTGATTATGTGACTGTCAATGGAAAGTCATGTTGCATTCAGATATGTTTAATAATATCTGAAGAGTTCATCTGTGATTAGGTTTCAGTTTGGATTAAGGGGGGAAATTTATGGAGTTGTTCTCAAGGGCCTTGAGCAGTCAATACAATATTAACAAAGCAAGTGGATTTAGCCTTCTGGTTTACCACAAGCTACTCCCACTGCATTTTCTCTGACTTTCTAGTGAGTTTATGTGTGTGTGTTGCAAAGTTATGATCCAAGAGTCCTCAAGATCAGGGGCAACAGAGGGCTCTAATTTCAGTTTGTGAAAATTGGAGTTTTTTTTCCTCCTCTACTGATTAGCCATTTTTACCAAACAGTGCATGAGGGTAATATTAGAGGCAGCAGGGTAGGAATAGGTACAGTGCCAATCAAAACAAAGAGAAAAGAGGATAAAAGAAGTAACAGAGTATATCAAATCAGTCATTCCAATTCTCTACCTCAAGAAGAGTAAGAATAGGCCTGGTATTTCCATGACTTCAGGGTTTTTTTGGTTGTTGGAAAAAACAGAATAACTAAAACATTTAAATACACAGTGTTAAGAAAGAACCACACCAAGAGAACAGGTTTGCTTACCAGAGTATCATCGCTCCTGGCAACACTCATGTTACTTCTGGACAAGAATGACCTGGATAATCTTTGGCACAGTGATATCAAGCGAACGGATTGCTTTAAAAAAGAGAGAGGGAAAAAAAGACAGGCAGGGGAAGCAAGTGAGCTTATGCAACAATGCTCCAATTAGTACAAATGACAGAGTTTTGGGATAGCACTCACTGCTGGCAGCACGTGCTCTGCAGGGGTGGGCGAATCCACAAGTAGGTTGGATTATATTTGCTTCAAGACTAATTCTAAAGGTCTTACATATCAAGATAAGGATACAGAGAGATTTTCTTTCTGGATTTCACTATTGAATTATAGGAATACCCTCTATCCCTCTCTTGCTATTTTGATTTTCACTCTTGGAGAAATGGTATTAGCCAGGCAAACTCCTTATACATCCCCCTCAGAGGTACGGTATGTAGAGGCCTCACCTTGTGTCCCCGTGTGCAGGCAAACTGGTAATGGCAGATAATATGACTACCAAAACTCAAACAGTCACTTGAAATGAAGAGGTGGAGGCTACCTAATAGGACAAACACCTCAGCATTTATTCTTAGGGGCAAAATCAAGACATGAACTGTGTGTGTGTGTGTGTGTGTGTGTGTGTGTGTATGAGTGAGAGAGAGAGAGAGAGAGAGCGCCTTCTGGCGATTCTCTCTACATTTTAAGCCTTATTCTGAGGATTTCTTTAAAACTGACAGTTAACTATTATGTAACCTACAACAGTGGTTCTCATCCCTTCATGACACTCCAATTTGATGGGTGTGAAAATGAGGTGCATTTCTGGTCCCATGCTGGGGAGACAGAGCTGGTAAGAGTTTCCTTTAGACTTGACTTGACCCTGTGCATAGGAAGCCAGCCTCCCTAACCCTAAATTTTCATTTGTTCAATGATAGCTGGAATACCCTTCAGAGCCATGTTCCACACAGTCCCTGCACACATTGTCCACAATGAAAAAGTACAAGAGATCAAGGGCCTTTGTCCCCATCCCACCCCTATTCCAACCACTCATAGACCAAGGCTGGATTTAAGAACCATTTACACAAGTTATGTATAAACATAATACCATGTTGCTTCCCATAAAAAGAATACATTTAAAATGTGACTTGTTACATTAAAAAAAAAAAAAATATTGTGCTGATTCAAAAAAATCTGTCCTGGGAATGGTTTTGACTTTGATAGGTACAAAAGTACATGTGAAAATATGAATATAACAGAACTGTAATGTTATTTTTGCTTATCTTTGAAAACAGGTTAATGGCACAGAGTACAGAGTAAACCATTTTAAAAAGGATGCACTTTGTATTGCCACCATCAGAAGAGATGGGCACTGATCCAAGCAGCTTCACAGAGGAAACAGAGTAAGTTAATCCCTCCATAGCAAACAATCTTACTTTCCACTTTTTCCGGGCTGCAAACTTCTTGAATTTCTCCATGTTTACTGCTGATGCTTTTCTACTAAGTGCTTGCTGGGTATCTTTAGGCTAAAATGAAAGATTAAAAAAAAAAAATTACAGATATGTGTTACAATTTTATAAAACCTGTCATTATTTGGGATGCTAACACAATGACCTTGCTAAAATAAAACAAGCTGGAATAATATGAAATGAATCTAGTTTCTAGTGACTAAATCTTGTGCCTGGGTAGGGGTTTGATAAAAACCATAAAAGCTGAATCTTGGGGAAAAGTTGAACAGGTAAATTTGGTGTCAAGCTGAAATACAACTTTCTACACTGAGAGTTTGGGAATGGTAAGGCCATGTTATAAGCCATTTGACTTGAATATAATTACGTAATTTAGAGCTAGGCTAGGTCTTAAGTCAGCAAATCTAGTGTAACAACATTACAATGCTTTCTATTGCATCTTTTCCACAAGCCATTTAACTCTACCACACAGAGGAGACACCATTGCCTTCTGGGGAGCCCAGTTGTAGGGTAAATTAAGTAAATCAGGCCCCTCCCCCCACCGGGGCCAAGAGTGAGGGGCTCGTGCACTTATGATTATGGACACCTGGGCCCAAGGAGCATGGGAGTGTGCGTGCGTAAGTGCAGGCACCTGTGGCAGGAGGCCAGGGATAAAAGGGCAGCATTACACTGAAGTGGGACTACGGCTATAGGAGACCACTCTGAGGCAGGACCAAGAGGCTGAGAATGCTAGAGAGAGGTCAGAGAAAAGCAAAAAGTTTGGCCAGGGGCCAGAAGTCTGTCAAGCCTCCAGGAAGTCATGGTCCCTGGTCCGGCCTGTGCCTGCTCCCTGCCTAGTGTGCCTGGTTCCCTGAGAGGCATTAAAGGTCTGTAAGATCCACCAAGGGTTCCAGGATTCTCTTTATCTGTGTGATTCGATAGTGAACCTGCCCCGGGCAGGCTTGTACTACACCAGGTAACTGCTGGGAGCTTGCACAAACAAAGAGTTGTCCAGTTGCCCCAAACCTTATTACGTCATGCAAACAACTGCATTAAAATCTGCTTATTGATTCTAAGATTTTTTTTCCTGTAACTGTCTCATTCCCCTCCCTTAGTTCTTTCTGGTTTAGTTAAAACTACAATTCGTTAACCCAAATGCTGACAGGCACCAGGCAGATAACTTAAAAGTGCCATATGTCAAGCGTGGCCACAGGCCCATGCCATGTTTCTAGTGGACTTGGAGAATGAAGGCTGTGTTCTTCAGATTTTTCAAGAGAAGTTGGAAATGTAGATTTGATATGATACTGAAATGCTAGAAACTAATTCAAAATCTTTTTTAAAAAATTGTTTGGGCCACCATCCAAAAGGTCAAACCAAATATGGCTCTTGCGTGGACTTCACCTTCAGCTCCCCATTTATAATCCCGAATCATGACAGCTTATTCCTCTCCATGTCCATTGTCATTAGAATACTCACTCATCTGTTAGTTCTCTTAAAATATGACACTAATAGCAAACACAGTACTCCACATGGACCTGTGGTTAGGATCCAGGGCAGCTAGTAATAGCCTTATACAAATGAATTCCTAAATGCCCTATATAACTCAAAGTAACCACATTATACAACTTACCTTGATCCAAGGATGCTGCAAACTATCTTGAATGGTCATTCTCTTCCTTTTGGTGTGGGGAGGAGGGGGGAGTGGGAGAGAGGAGAAAAAAATGCTGTGACTATAGAAGTAAATGTTACAGTGGTTCCCATACCCATTGGGCCTACCAAGCAAATGCAGCATGTTTTGGCCTTTATGGAAAAAAGCCAAAACAACCTTGGTCTTTTGTTGATGGTTTCACTGTGCCTCCAGGGACAATTGAGCAGGTACACAGAGCCCTGACTAAATTCCTGAAGTATTTTCACATGACATGCTTTCCTTTGCCAGGTGAAAACAACCAGAATCTCATAAATATAAGGTGACTAGTAAAGGTGTTACTAACCCTCCAGGTGCTAACCAGCTGAGGACACAGATGAGCTTCTTGCAGGAGTAAAAGACACTCACTTTGGATCCTTGACGAGGAGTCTTCTTATGAAATCTTTGGCTAGGGCACTGGTATTACTGAAGTATTCTTCCTCAAATTCATAGTTGACAGCAGATACATTTGCTAATGTTTCTTGTTTATTGTCTCCAAGAAATGGGGAGGCCCCGCTTAGACTGTTAATAAAGTGAGGTATAGAACATGAATAATTATTTCTCATGTTGTCATTTCATTCCTCTAATATCTGATAGAGGGACTGAAGAACTATAATCTGGCACTTAGGCAGTCACTTTAGAATACTTAATTACATGCTACTTTGTATTTAATTGTCATGAACAAAAACTGCAGCTTAATACAAAGGGAAAATTTAAAACACTAATTTGAAATAACATGTAAATTAAAAAAAAAAAACTTTACCTATGTTCTCTGCAGTGACAGACAGCTATGTTTTCTTTCAGTGATTATGCTACAGTTTTGGATGATTAATTTTAAATATATGAGAAAATGTTTGATTATTACAAACGAAACATGGTCTGGGGTATAAAATGAGTATGTTTACATAGAAATTATGCATAAGCTGAAGAGAATACACCACATACAATGGTTCGTAAAACATACAGTCTCAAAGAGAGGGAACTGTGGACTTTGGTACTTACAGAATGTAGGTTATTACCCCAATACTCCTAGACACAAAGCAAAGACAAAAATAAATGTCAGGGGAAGAGTACAACAAACCAGAAAGATAACAACATCAAGGGTACTTTCCTTACCACATATCTGCCTCAAGACCAAGAGGTTCATAGTTGACTATCTCAGGAGCTAAGAAGAAAAAATGTATATTTAGTTTTTGGAAGGAAGTGAATCAACAGATTCTACCATGAATGAAGCAGAAACAAGTATTATGGCAATGATGCTACAGCTACATCATGACAGCATGATGTTTATGAGAATTGAATAATCCCAGAAGCAAAGGAACTTACCAACAAACTCTGGTGTCCCAAATATGTTTTTGAACTCATTTCCAAAGTCAATTTTATGGGCCAAACCAAAGTCAATGATTTTGATCCGAGGTTTGGGGACATTTCTATCCAAAAGCATGATGTTTTCAGGCTTTAAAAACCAAAAGAAATAGTATGGCAATGTTCAATGCAGCATTATTCACAACAATCAAAGGCAGACATAATTCAGTGCCCACCAACACAAAAACAAAATGCGGTATAATGGAATATTATTCAGCCTTAGAAAGGAAATAAATTATAACACATGCTATAGCATGGATGAACTGTTAAAACATTATGCTGTCCTCTGCCTAAATAAGTGAGACACAGAAAGGCCATACTATATGATTCTACTTATATGAAGTTCCTAGATTAGGCAAATTATAGGGACAGAAAGTAAAATGTGGCTGCCAGAAGCTGGAGGAGGAAAGACGGGGATTTAGTGCTTAATGGGTACAGAGTTTCAATCTGAGAAGATATCTAAATTCTAGACATGAATGGTAGTGATGGTTGTACTATTGTCTTGTGAATGTACTTAATGTTATGCTTGTGAATGTACTTAATGTTATGCTTAAAATGGCTAAATGGTCATTTTTACCACAATAATAATCTTAAAATGCTATGTATGACATGTGAGGCCAAGGACAAGATGAGAGAAGAGTTTTTCCTCTCCCCTGAACAAATAAAAAAATCGAGTTAAAAGAATCACTGAAAGAAACCACTAGGAAAAACGCCCTGGTTTAGGTTCTCCCAGAAGCATACCTGCAACAGGGAATTGGGTGCAAGAGGCTTATGTGGAAAGTATGCCAGGAAGAATTAGGTCAAGGAATGGGGGGACAGGAAAAGGAAGGAAGCTGATGCAAAGAGTCTTATTAAGGTGGGGGCCCTTTGGGGAACTTAGGGAGAAAGAGTTGCATTCAGTTTTCCAAATGAAGCACGAAGGAGTTGAGTATTTACCCCCCATTTCCACCATCCTCCATTGCCAAGAGCACTTCTGTGGACATTTACTCTTTGGCAGTTCCCAGGGCCCCAGAAACCAGATGTCAGAGAATCAGCGGTGTTTGCAGCAGCTTCTTTGAGGTGTATATTAGTGAGTGTTGGGGAATACAGCTGGGGTTTGACAGTTTTGTTACACTAAGTATGGAGAACATCCTCCCTCTTCAGAGATCTTCTTTTTTTTTATTTATTTTATTTTTTTAAATAATAAATTTTATTTTTATATTCCCCATACAATTGCAACCCCCCCATTCTGACCCCAGTCCCTCCCCTCCCGCCCCCAACCCCCAAAAAGTGTCTCTGGTTCATAGTTTTTTGTTGATTTTGATTTTCACTTTCTTATAGTTATTCATTTTCCTGGTCCCTTATTTAAGTTTTCTAGATTCCTGCTATGAGTGAGACCATCCGGTATTTTTCTTTTTCTTTTTGGCTTATTTCACTGAGCTTGTAATCAGGGAAATGCAAATCAAAACTACCATGAGATACCATCTTACACCAGTGAGAATGGCACATATTAAAAAAACTAGCAACAACAAATGTTGGCGAGGTTGTGGAGAAAAAGGAACTCTCCTGCACTGCTGGTGGGAGTGCAAACTGGTCCAACCACTATGGACAGCTGTGAGGAGATTTCTTGACCTACTAAACATTGAGCTTCCATATGATCGAGCAATTCCACTCCTAGGTATTTACCCAAAGGACAGGGAAACATCAGTTCCAAAGAGCACCTGCACACCTATGTTTATAGCAGCGCTGTTTACAATAGCTAAGCTTTGGAAACAGCCCAAATGCCCAAAAATAGATGACTGGATCAAGAAGATGTGGTACATATATACCATGGAATATTACTCAGCATTCAAAAAAGATAAACACATGCAATTTGCAGCAACATGGATGGCACTGGAAGGGATCTTCAGAGATCTTCTTATCCTAGCTACAAGCGATCTGAATCTTTTACTTAGCAATAGTCACATGCTATTTATGACAATCTCCTGCCTGCCCTTGGATGGTACCTTGAATCTCACATTGCCATTTTCTGTTGCTCACCTGTATGTTTTCACTTCCCAGAACCCATAACCCCTGTGGCAGTTGGGAGTATGACAAACCTTTCTATCTCCCAGAATGCCTTGCCTCCAGCCAAGCAAAGATCTCAATTAACCAACCTTAGAGTTTTGTGTAATTGATTGCTGGTGACAGCAGCAATGAGTCTTTTTTGCACCAAGAAGGAAAGCAGAGATCAGGATACCTTCTACCTTACTGCCTTGCAGGCATAGGGGGATGGAAACTGGGCAGCCAGGCTGCTACAGGCTAATAATGCCCCGTAACCAACAACAGTCCTCTTATTTAAAGACCTGGCTGGCTACGAACCCTTGATTCTTCTCCAAGAATTATCAAATATATTTACTGATCTTAAGCCTCTATCCCATAATGTTAGGAGGCCTAGAGGTAGTTGTTCGTTATATATTTGCTCATTTATGGGACAATCCCACTTGTTAAACCTATAAAGGAAAAAAAAAAAAAAAACAACATGTATCTCTTTCAGAGGCTTCATTTTTTCTTAGCAAACAAAGAACTGATAGTGTGGTTCACTTAATCTTTCTATCATATCTTCTGGCTTGTACTCAGTAACATACCTTAAGATCAAAGTGGGCAATCTGAAGGGAGTGCAGGTAGTAAACACCATTCAGAATCTGTTTGAGAAATTCTGTTGCTTCTTCTTCAGTCAAAGATTCCTTTTCAGCTAAGAAGTCAAACAGCTCGCCTCCTGCAACACTGAAAACCAAGAAGCAGCAGCTATGGGTGACAGTTTGGTTTTGTATTGATTTGTTTTGTCATAGATTACTGCCACACTCATTTCAGACCACAAAGACATACTGAAACTGCTCATCAGAATTCAATTAAATGGAATTCTGCACTCAGGTCTATCTGTACTTGAAAGCATGAGGATATACTTTCTTGATGTGCTCTTTCACAACTGGGGAGAGAGCAGAGACAGAACAGGAGGGAAAATAAAATTAATGGATCCTTAAAACATTTTTTTTAAAGATGTATTTATTTATTTATACAAGCACTGGGTACAGTCAGAAGCACGGGAGGGTGAGAGAATTCACCAGAGCCAGACCGGGAAGCAGAACAGGCAGACTGACAAAGTACACTGCTAAGAGGAGCAGCAGGTGCAGCAGGAGAGGTCTGCACACCATGTGGGACCCCAGCTGGCAGCCGGGGATCGAACAGGCGCTGCAGAGGCTGTGGGCAGCTTTGCAGCTCAGCGCTCAACCGCTGCACCACCGGGGAGGCCCTGGATCCTTAAAACATTTTAATTAAACATAGTGACGCAGTCTTAACTTACTGATTAGAAAACAAAACTACAAGCCAACTTTGTACAGATTTACAGAACACATCTTTCTAGTCCAATCAATTTGTACCTGTAAGGTTTATAATCTGCTTCGGCAATCGATTTTTTAAACCCAAAACCACAATATATATATAGCCTGACAAGGATTATTTTCTTTTCATTTTGTAAGTTTTTTATATGTAAATACTTAAATATTTATAAAAATCACATTTAATAATGAATTCAACAAATACCTTAACTAATAAGAATACTCTTAGACAAAATTGAGATGTACATGTTGTGTAGGATTTAGGTGTCTCTCTAGACAGACTGTAAATTGCTGGAGGCCAGAAATCAAGCCCCCATCACCCTCACCCCTTGTTGGCTCACAGTTACCCACCGCCCTACCTCCTCACACAGTGCCAGCCACACAAGAGCTCAGAACATTTTTACTGAGTGGTGTAGGGTCAATGAGTTAACAATCAGGCATTTTTTATGCCCTCCCACTGCTAGCATGGATGGCTGTGTGGAGAGGTGTGGGCACAGGGCCCGCATGCCTTGGTTATGGCCACCGGCCAGAGAGAACAGTGTGCCCATGGGTAAGAGTGGGCACCTATGCCCAGAGGTGCAGGGAAAGGCCACCGTGTCAGCACAACAGGAGGAGCACTCTGAGATGAGATGCGAGATGACAGAGACTGAGAGCACCTGAGAGAGAGTGCGGAGATTGTGGGGTACTGGGAGATGGCCCGTGCCTGCCTCCTTGCATGCCAGCCTCCCTGCCTGTGAGTCTGGTTCCCCGAGAGAGCATTAAAGTCCTGTAAAATCTGCAGAGGGCTCTGGACTCTGTTTACTCGTCTGCCCAGATCCACAGGGAAACTGCCCTGTGCATGCTGGCATGAGAAGTGGATCAATGAACACACTCCCCTAAACATTCCACTATAGGGATTAATGGCAAAAGACAGGGAGCTTTTAAGAAAGATTTTATGAATTAATCTCTATCAAGTTGAACTATACATTCATGACACAGTAATTAACTTACATATGTTCTTTCTTTCTTTGCACAAGACAGTTCCATAAACAATATACCTACCACATCTACATCCAGAACAAGAAAACTGGTGCTTATGAGACTAAATAATAATAAAAATGCTGTTTTCTTAAAGAAAAGTTTTCAGTCCTGTCCTTTCACACTCCAAATTGGTGTTTTTTCTTAGGTTCAAGGTCCACTGGTATCAGAATTGAGCTGTTTTAAAAATGCAGATTCAGGGTCTCACTTCCAACCTGCTGCCTGAAAATGGGGATGAGGATGAGGAAATGCAGTATTTTTCATCCAGCACCTTAGGAAATTCTCAGCACACTAAAACTTGTGGGCCAGTTTTCGGTCTTAATGACATTCTCTTACTGCAAGAGCACCCTGACTATTTAACTTTAGGATGTTTCTCTGGAGGACACCGTGACTCCTCCACTCCTGGGGCCCCAGCTGAGGGCTCAGCGTGTCCGTAAGTGAAACAGATTGGCTCTTTTCTGTCACTGGCTGGGCAGCAGAAACCGCTGGGAGAGCAGTGGCGGTTTTCTGCCCACATCACAAGCTGCTGCTGTGGCTCCCTCCAGCAGGCAGTAGAGATCTGGGGGGCCCAGTCTGGCGTGGTAGGTTCCCAGTGGAGTCCACTCTGCAATGCTGCTGCAGGCTCCCCCACTGACACTGTCATATTTGGTGCATGGATCACAGAATGGAGCAATTAGGTGCAAACTATGAGCTGATTAGTGCTGAATGGTCCAATAATCCATAGGATTGAAAACGGTCCAATCAGACTTGCAGGTAGGGGACCCTGGAAGAGGACTAAGGCCGGGCAGGAGCTAGCTTGGGACTGACTCTTTAATGGAATCTATTCCTGGCTTCCCAGGAAAGAAAGAAGCAGCATCCAGCCGCTGAATCTCCAAAGAAATAAGAGAAGCTGAAAAGCTTCTCAGAGAAGCCAAAGAGATTTGCAGAGGACAGGAGGGCCACACCTGCCTCTGGTCCTGCCTCTGACACCACCCAGAAGAAGCACCAATGGCTCTAGGCCTGGTGTTTCAAAGAGCTGTTTGTTGTTGGTGTCACAAAGCTGTTAACACAGTGTTTCTAACACCACTTCCCAGTGACCAATGCTGACAGGCACTACTGGCCAGAGCTGTACCGCACGTTGACAGGTAACTGGCACTCTGTCCAGGTAACTTTTTTTTTTTTTTTAATAGAGGCATGTTTTTATTTTTTTATTTATTTGTTTGTTTATACATGCACAGTCAGAAGCATGGGAGGGTGAGAGAATTCACCAGAGACAGAGCGGGGAGCAGAACAGGCAGAAGGACCGAAGTACACTGCTGAGGGGAGCAGCAGGCGGCCGGAGAGGTCTGCGTGCCATGTGGGACCCTCCTCTGGTGGCCGGGGAGCAACCGGGTATCGAGCCGACGCTGCAGAGGCCACAGGCAGCTTTGCCACCCAGCGCTCAACCGCTGCACCACCAGGGAGGCCCCTGTCCAGGTAACTTTTGAGAGCTGTCAACATAGTGTATCTGATCAATCAGCTCTGCCTCTCAGTGCTGCTATTTCTGCTGCTGTCCAGTCCAGTGTCCAACACTGTCCATCCTGACTTTCAGACTGGTACTGGGTGCTGCTATTTGTCATCTCAGTGGCCCCAGCTGTTGAGTGCCTCCAGCTGTGGTAAGCTGGATCCCGGCCTGCTGCTTTCTGGTTGCCACCAGCTCCAGGCCCTTGTGGACAGGACAATGCCATTTTGAATGAGTGGCCTTTTGTCTGGTTTGGGACACTGTGGAAGACAGCAGGTCACTCACGGCCTCAGGAACTCTTTGTTTCCCCTATTTTTAAGTTAACCCCATTATTGTTCCCTGCAGCTGAGTGGTTTTGCAATTGGGTGTGCAGGTAAGAACACATAGTGCACCACGCTGTTACTCTTGTCTCAGCACTCTTTCACAAGGAGCCAGACCTGAGAGGCCAGAAAAGTCAGGTGCCAGCCGAGCCCCAGCTTGTGGCAGAAGCTGCAGTGGATGCCCACCCTGCAGCTGGTGGCCTTCCCACTTGCATCCTCTGGACTTCTTGCCCTCTCTCCCCACAGCACCCTACGTCACCCTAGTCAAACTGGCCCCCCACACAGCTCCATGAAGCCCCTGCTTCTCACTTTTCTGTCCTCTTAGGCCTCTTAAGACCAACAGAAGAGTAAAAGGAACCCCCTGAACAACAGGGAACAGGAGGAGGGAAAGAAATCTGAAACTGCAAACCAACAATGAAGAAACTGTCAATTTTTTGCTTCTTTGCTTCTTTCCTTGCTGACTTCAGGGTCATGGATCAGGCCTGGTGTTTCCATGCAGGACCATCCATGCAGGATGGTCTACAATCACCACATCCAGCTAAATCTTAATTCTGCAGCTGGAAGGCTCTCTCTCTTGACCTCATTTTCTCCTCAAACAGGAATAACAGAAACTGACTTTGAGGGTTTTGAGTATTAATGATAATCTATATATGTGAAACACTTGGCAAGTCTGGCAGGCTGGTGAGGCCCATTCCTGTGGAATGCCAACCTAGCTCCCCCAGTGCAGGCTCCAACATGAAGCCCACTTCCCTACTGGTCCCCTTAAACCCACTGACTTGGCCTAAACTCTGCACACCCAGGAAGGGGGTACTCCTATAAATATGGTGCCAGGCCTAGCCTCTCCTTTCTCTGCCCTCTTTCCAGTTGCTTACCCTCTCCCCTTCACCCACACACATTGTTTATGTTCTTTAAGACACCAGTAACTTTCCTGACAAAGACAAATGACTAGGATTTGGGTTGCCTAGAGTTGGAATAAATCTTCCAGTGCCCAAACAGCTTGGAGCATTTAAGAAGCCAGAGTTCTTCCTAGGAACATTCACAGTGCCCCAGGTTAGGTTTTTGTTACTCTCCTTTGGTTAGCTTTCTTCCCTCACATCTAACCTGAGCTTCCTTCATGACAAGGGAAGAGTTCATTCTTCTGCAGGGTCCAGACTCTATAAACCAGAATGGTAGAGGGTAAGAAGCCCCCACTTGAAATCTTGACAACTTACCTAACCTCAATGGTCCTAGGATTCCTTGTCCGTAAATAAGGAACACCCCAAGGAGTTATTCTGATGTTCCAGGTCAGTTACAGCTTTGGGGCCCTCAATGTTCTTTCTTCCCATTTGGCTTAAAGTAAAAGTATTCCATAGCAGCAGTGCTATGCTGGTCTGGGTTTAATAATAGGCTTTCTGGGGTTAGAGTGGGACAAGGCCTATTCCTGAGGGGTCATATTCCCACCATGGTCACTTCAAGAACCCACTCAGTGATGGTGACTGTGGTGTTGGGAAGGAACATGCTCTGTGGCCTAGCAAGTCAGCTACATGGCCCACTGAGGCACAATGCATTTTCCAAAGATGGTATAATAGATGG